AACATGTGCTTCTCCAGTGCCTGTATTACAGAGACATTCGTACTAGACTCATCTCACCATTACTGTATAAATACTCAGGGAGCACGGGACAATTCTACACCTCCCTGCTGCTTTCAGATATCAACCCTGCTACAATATATAATGTTACCAGATTCTGTGCAGCAGCTATTAAAATTTGTCAGATGATGACCTGTGCCATAAACTAATCCAAATGAGCATCTAGTTCATCATACTAGAGTGCTCTGTAATTTGATATAGTCTGCCACATCCTAACCTTTATGCCCCCCACACCCATCTAATGTTCCTACCCCTCCTTTTATATTCTTTTAGACTCTTGTTTTTACATATATTTTTTATATCCTCTAGCTTTTCATAATTTTTCCTTTAGATCCCTTTTAGATGTATACTTTCTATTTTATACCCTTTAGCTTTTTATTATTATTTTTCTGATGTATTTTCTATGCTCTTTAAATTGACTGTACCCCACCCTCCTTATGCTAGTCTTTGACTGTAATAAAGAGTTGGTTTGATTCCTTCCACCTTTTGCAGCATTATGGACTCATTTTTTCACTGTGCTCCTTGACTTCCATTATTAGAGGTTGCAAATCATTTGCATTTTCAGCTATTAGAGTAGTGTCATCTGCTGCACAAGTTCTTGATGTTTTAAAACCACACTCATCTTCCAATCCAACCTCCCACAAAATATACTCAGCATGCAGGTTGAATAAATAAGGAGAGATTATCCAGTGTTATCTCATTTTTTTTGCCAGCCAGAAGCCAGTCTGTTTTGCCATGTTCCATCTGGACTGTGACTTCCTATCCAATGTACAGGTTTCTCATGAAGACAATGAGATGTTTTGGGATTCCCATTTTCCTAAGAACATTCCACAGCTTGACATGTCTGACAAAATCAAAACCTTTTCTGTAATCAGTGAAGCACTTTTCACCTATTTTACCTCTTACTTTGCCAAAAAAATAATTTAAAAATTGAGTAATGCAATCTGGGAGTGCTTTGGTGGTTACAAAAATGGGATGGGGTTGGGGACATATGCAGCCTGTGAGCACTACATTGCTCATCTGGGTTTAGCAGGATGTTTGAACATTATATGTGCAGGGTTGCAATAGATTAATACGTGTGCTCTTTAACGACAGTGAAAATTGTTATTCTGTGCTGTCTCTTCGCGGTGGCACAAAAGGCAAGATCCATTTTGCCTCCTCCCCTGTTCATGCAATCTCATTTACAGTGAAAAGGAACATTAATTTTAAAAAATGGTGTGCACCGTTGCCCTGCTTTGTACTTTGAAAAGTGTCTGAAAGGCTGAATGGAGAAGAAAGGGTCCTCAGCAGGAGGCTGAGTTAGTGGGAAGCATCCAGGGAGTCAGGCAGTCATCAGCTTGAAAGCCCTCTCATTTTGTGCCCTCATCAGTCTTTTGCAAGGGAGAAAGAAAAGGCATGTTAATGAGATGTGAGGAGGAAAGAAATGGAAAGCCTGCGCACAATGGAGGAAATACAAAGGGATTCAGGGTGGGCCTTTCTAAATATCTATGAATTATCAATCTGAATTCCAATGAAATATTGTCTGAACAACAGCAGAGGTATTTCTAAATGTGTTCCTCCTGCTTGAAGTGATTCTAAAGTCTCCTCCAAAAAAACCTCCAAAAGGAACAGATTGGAACGTACATTTTTGTCCAAAACTATTGCCCAAGAGAGTAATTGCCAAATCTGTTATTATTTTTTTTGTTAAAAAAAAAAAGCATTAGAAATGTAACCTTTAAGGTCAGTCCTGTACATATACAGATCAGGAAAGCAGCTTTGGCTGTAGCTGTCTAATCCACAAGATGCATTGTAAAGACATGAAATTGTTGCCTAAAATGGCTGGGAAAGGTCATCATTT